TGCCAGTAATTCACTGTCCACTCTAGGACGATATCTGTGTTCCCGGGCCTGATATGCCACTTCTTTTATTTCATTCGAATGCTTTTGCTTTCTTTAAATATCTTATTTTTGTGAGCTTTTTCAAATCGTAAAAATCTGCCTGAAGGTCTTTTGTTCAACCCCTGGTCTGGTTGAATCAGACTTTAAAATTTATGTTTGCTGCTTCTACTTTAAGAAAGCGGCATTAAGGTGTTGTCTCGGGTATTTGTCTATGTAAGGTGACCTATATCCCTGTATACTGTTACGTTATGAATCTCAGCGCACTCGGCCAAGATCCATTTGTCTGTCCGTTTGTGTTTGTCAGTCATTATGACAAGAAAAATATAGATGACATTTTGCACAGTTAGCATGCTCATTAAAAGAAAATTGTTGTTAAAAGTTCGAAATACTTTTTCTTAAAATCAAACTCTAAAATTAGGGACATGGTGCTTATAAAAATTTGAACATGCAGTTGTTGTGCATGAAACGTGTAAATAATGTATATTCCTTTTTTGCTAGAATTGAAAAAAAAAAAAAAATTTGGAAAAAAAAAATGTTTACTTAGAAACATTTTTCTGTGGTAGGATTGAAACAAAAAAGTTGTTAAGAATCCATTCTCGCTGTCAAAATGTTTATTTTTTTTTGTGAAATTGGAAATTTTTTTAAAAATTTTTTGTTATAAATAAAGGCAACAGTAGTATACAGCTGTTCAAAAGTCATTAATCGATTAAGAGAAAGCAAATTCGGGTTACAAACTAAAACTGAGGGAAACATATCAAATATAAGAGGAAAACAACTGAACAACAGAAACACTGGACTGCAACAAAAACAAACGCCAACATATATAGAAACGGACTATTTGATAACAACTGCCGTATTCATGACTTAGTACAGGACAATTGATCAACACCACAAAAAGTGATGTATTTTTGTTACGTATATATTAATCTTGAATTTAATACAATTAAATGGAACGACATCCAAAAATTCACAATTATGTTCACAATACTAGTCCAAATAATTATCATGATTATGACAGTCTTGAAAGGCTATTTTGAATTAATGCTGTGACGACGTCATAATTATTTGGACTAACACAATACTTTATCCATGGAAAATGGAAATTAAATCGACTATACTGACAAATAAGACATATGTGAAATGTACCGAAAATACAGAATTCAAACCACAAACGATAAGACATAACACAATATCCAACCGTACTTAACCGTATATAATCATGATAATTAGTCAAAAATTAAGATAAATGTTGCTGGACTTGGATAACAACAACCTCACTCATTTATCATTGATAAAATAAATAACCATATTTTTTCAAATAATGATATTTTTATTTTATTGTATTAAAGAACCAGGACATGGATCTAAACATAGAAAGGCGCAAAAGAATCACACTTTAAATAAAACTGTTTAGTATCTTGTTTAAATGCGTTAAATTTAATAAATAAGAAAGTAAATCATGAATTTTCTTCTAACGATTCGGGAATAGTTGTAAATCAGATTTATTTGTTCAATTTTAATTTACAAAGACAACGAAAAGAACGCACGGGTATTCAAAGGATGTTGTCAGATGTCACTTGACTAATACAATATGAAAGGTATTTTATCTATTTGGATGTTGCTTTATAAGAATGAAAACATCAGATGAATATTTGTATGAAAATAACATTAAAAGGATATAAATACAGATACCTTGAAGTTCATGAAGTCGCGATTACTCATTATTCTCCCAAATACCGCATATGCATATTATGTTTCCTCGTGGGAAAATTTATTTATAATTTGCTAAATAGTAAGACGTATATTCCTTACCGTTTAATCCACAAAAAATAGGGTTGGTGTGTACTCTTAAACTAAGTTAGGCGGTATGTTCTCGTTTCTTCGATTTCACAAATGAACCACTGATGTCAGGAATTCGGCATATGACATTTATTTGATATTCTCTGTTTGTACATAATTCGAAGCACTATCGAACTATGTCAGCCTATTGGACTTTTATCTTTAGAATTTCCTTTGCATTAAATATCTATGTCTTGTATACATAACCTTTAATATAAATTAGATGAAATAGGGAAAACTTGAAGTGTATATATGTACATGTAAAAAAAAAACCAGCAAAAGATGATAATGATGATGAAATGGAATTAAAACGTCCAATGGCATATATTACATGTATGTCGGAACAGCAAATTGACAATAGGTATGGATAGAACCCTACTCTTTACAAGATGGTCACGCTTAGTAGGAATTTCACGTGCTATGTAATCGGGTTCAAATTGTCATGTTGTGATGACGAATTTCTTAAATTTGTGATTTTACTATGTTCATAGATTTGACAAAGCAAAGCAAGTTAGATATAGATCTGAATAAAAATCAGATATGTTCTGGAGGGTTCTCTCTTATTTTCAATATATATATATGTATATATATATATATAAGTCTAAATTGAAAACAACGTTCAAACCTATGATTGCGTTGGATAAAAACCGTAATTTTTCTATATATATATTTTAATTATGAATATGGTTTGAACGTTATTTTCAATTTAGACTTATTTAAATTATGAATATATATAGTTCCGAAACTTTTTATCTGTATAAACCAACGATCGACAAGTGCGTACATTTTTTTGAAATAACTATTCATCTTTTTCAAAACGTCCATACGTATTGACAACGAGTATATACTTACATTTTTGTCAAATTTTACCCTAGGAAAACATCTAAATAGCTTGTTTATTTCATCAAATCTTAAACTGGAGTTTTTTTTAGATTTTCATAAATATCATTCTTTACACCAGAAATGTCGACCATGAACAAGTGGTAGTAAAATTGTATACATGTTTGAGTTAAGTAATGACTAGTCTTTCACTGTTGAACTAGATACAAAATGATGTACACATGATGCATATTACACCTTATAGTTTTTAAATTGAAAGTTCCAAGTTACCGGTCATGTACACTGATATACGCTCAGCAGTGATGCGATGCATGAACCTGCATTATGTAATTGTGTAATAAGAGTGAAAATCGCTTAATTACCAGGACCCGTCACCTCACAATACCTATGACAATAATTCCTTTAGCCATACTGATTATCAAATTAGGAAATGACCGAATTATCTGAATGTATAACGTAAAAGAGTTATGAACAAAGATTTTTGCAACAATTTTATACGGAACACCGCTAGTTAATTATGATCTTAAACTTTGAGAGAACCAATAAAAGTAATCGCTCTAAACTAATTCCCCTTAAATTAAACTGTTTCATAAACTTAGCGAAAAAAAAAGCTTAAAAACGACAGACCATAGTTATTTAAGAAAAAATAGATATCCAATCGGCCGACATTTCCGGCTCTTAAATCTTTTTTTTTAAACATTGTTTCATATCAAGTTAACTTAAAAGTTTACCGATAGGTAGCACAACCTAGTCAAGTGATTTTGACGCTAAATAACGACTGCGTTAGTAGCTGCTTGTTTTTGGTACTTTGTGGTTTATAGATATCACGTGGTCTTTTTAATCGGGAAGACGTCACGATGACTACATATATAGAATTTATATTTTCAATTTAAAATCGATGTTGATCTCTTATCTATGAGAATAAACGTTAATATTTCTGAATTTGTGCTTTTTTATACATAATAATATAAAATCAATTTTTCATTTCTTTGCGAAGTATTCCTTTAATGATCCGCTTCGTGACTAAATTGAAACAATATGACTAGACGCTATTTTTTTTAAAAATATTCTTGCTAAACTATCTGTTCACATTTGTTATCACCTATACTAGTACATGAAGTATTTAAGCTATACAACATTTCAATTTTCCGAGTAAATTATTTTATTGAGTCGTATAGTCAACTTACTTTATTGAACAGTTTTTTTTTTTTGCATTGATTAACAAACTGTTTACATTTAGAGTTGTCATTTAACTGTATTTTGCATTATTATACATTTGCAATTGTGTAAATAAACAGAATATACATTATTTGCTACAAAATGATATATTCATATGCATTTATTTGTAAAGTTATATTAATTTGTCATTATCTGTATATTTCAGATCTGTCATTGCCTTCTTTGAAAAAATATAATAAAGTATTTGAACGTTCCGCATTCGAGTCATCTTAAGCCTTATTCCACCTGGTCAAAGTAGATTCAATCTTTTGATAGTGCGATTCCCATTAATTGATTTATGTTCATTGGCAATTTTTAAGTATATTCAGTTCGCCTAAAAAATCAAATCAAATATTTGATTTATAAGACTATTTAGTTCGGTTTATGGGTCGACAAAGATGACGGGTTAAACATTTAACTGACACTAAACAAAGAGGTATGCAGACCTGTTTGGAAAAAAAACTGAAAGTTTGTCCTGCAATAAGTCGCGTATATATGGTCAGATTATATGTGCATTTCTTTTTAGGAATCTTTTACATGCAGCCTGCAAACACATTCGTATCACAAAGCTTCACTTTTTTTAAAGTTCCTTATTGATATTTTTAGCCTTTTCCCATATGAACCTACTTTTTGAACCAGTGACAAATATTACAATTTTAACGGTATGGGATTTACTCATTTAAATGAAGGCTGTACGGTGACCTTTAGTTGTTAATTTCTATGGTGGGGAGTTGTCTTATTGGCAATCATACCATATTTTCTTATTTTATATTTAAAAGTAATTATTTACCAAGAAAAAACTTTTGATTTTAAATAAATATTGTTTTTTTATTTTGTCGCTTATTGTAAAATATTTTTTTCAACCTAAAAGATAAGATATATCGATATGAATGATGTAAACAATGAATACTTTCTATTCCTTTTACATTTTGTCTTTCTATTGATTATTAAATAACGAATACAAAATAAAAAATACAGACAACGAGAACAAGTAAATATACGGGAATTGTAATGGCCTGACCATTAAGCATAACCAACGATTGGGCTCAAGCAATAAGACTATCAGGTGCTGATAATTTATTCCCAAACCTATCTAACAAATGGTAAAAAGCTGAAAATACAAAATGAAATACAATTTTACAATGTGTTCAATTAATTTTATAATGTATGAATGTCAAGTGTAGACAAAAGCAAAGTCCATAGAACGCGAAATAAAGATGCATTTATTAAAGGCGAAGTTTCCAGTATATCACGGATAAAAGAGTTCAATTATGTAAAGAACAATTTGAAGGCATCAAATACAAAGTTATAAATGTAACTCACTCTGTGGTTAGCCACGAATTGTGTCCTAGATGACGTTTGTCATCAAAATATTCTCCAGTACTGAGATGACCTTGCAGTATTCAGTTCGAGGTACGTGTAAGAAAGGGAAAGGTAACGATGATACGATGTTTTGACATTCTATACGGTTTAACGATAAATAATCCTCCTAGGTCAGGAACGCATAAATAGATTAAGAATATAATTAAACAAACTTTATAAAATGACGAATGAGGTTACAGATACTCCCCGTCTGATATCTATCTGATATCACTATTCCATAAAATATAACACATATGAATGTCACAATATAGATCCAATATATGTACACAGAATTATACAAGGTCGTTCTCTAACAGAAGAATCATGTCCACGATGGGGCGAGTGTAGATAGTGGCTTTTCCATTAACGATTACTCGCACTTCTGCTTTTCGGACATGTTCGTCGGAACATTTAAATGAGTTCACTATAATTCCAACGGGCCACTGGGTTCGGCAAAGGTTTTTGTCCTTTAGAAGAATGACGTCTCCTTTGATGAGATCACGGCGATCTTCGGTCCATTTTCGTCGTTGTTGTAGTAACGGCAGGTACTCTTTCATCCAACGGGACCAGAAAACACTGGCAAGAGCCTGTACTCGTCTCCATTCTGCAAGACATAGATCTCGTTTGTCGAATTCTCCTAGATGATCTGAAGTGAAAATTTAGTCGGTTTTCTGTGTCAATAACATAGCCGGAGTTAATCATAACGGATTCTCTTGATCTGTTGATACCGGTACCAGAGGTCTAGAGTTCACTATTGCTGAAACTTCTGCCATAAGTGTGTTCAGCACGTTATTCGTAAGGCTTCTTCCGGCTGCATTTAAAAGCATAGAATCAAGAATTCTCCTGGTGATACCAATCATTCTCTCCCAGGCTCCACCCATGTGCGACGAATGCGGTGGATTGAAGATCCAAGTTGTACCAGAATTGTACAGAACGTTCTTGAAGGGTCCATCTTCAACATTGATTGAGTCAATCTTTAAATCGTCGATTGCGCTAAAAAAGTTCGTTCCACGGTCAGATCGGAAAATCTTAACTTGGCCTCTAATAGCGGCGAATCTCCTGACGGCGCTTATGAAGGTTGAAGAACTCATTTCCTCGATTAGTTCGATGTGAATAGTTCTTGTCACTAAGCATGTGAATACAATTGCCCAACGTTTTGAGTTGGCGTATCCACCACGTGTTTTACGTGAAACAATTGTCCAGGGTCCACAGGTGTCTATTCCGACGTTAGTAAACGGAGGTGACGGTTCAAGACGGTCCTCTGGCAAATCAAACATGATTTGATACTCGGTTTTTCCTCTGAGTTTGCAGCATGTCACACATTTGTGAATAATGGAAGAGATTAAGCGTTTTGCTCCGACGATCCAGAATCCTGCGGATCAAATCTGTGAAATGGCGACCTTGATGTTTTATCTTGTCATGGTAGTGTCGGACTAATAATGTCGCTATATGAAGGCGTCCAGAGACGATCAATGGTTTCTTTTCATGGATGTTTAAGTCAGATTTGACAATACGGCCTCCTACTCGTAATAGTCCTCGTTCGTCCAAAAACGGATTGAGGTTAGCTATCGGGCTCCGCTTATCAATTTGTTCCTGACGTGTAATGCAATCTATTTCATCTCCGTAAACTTCATGTTGTGCAGATATTAAGATGAAATTTTCAGCATTCGAAAAACTTTCCAGAGAAGTTACTGATGCCGCCTGATTTGATCCGTGTAAACCTGAGAAACGTTCTAAAAAGGCTATCGCTCGCACAAGTGATGTCCAGTTGGAGAAACGGTTGAATCTATCAGTTCCGATACCTTTATGCTCAGGTGTGGCTAATGTTTTTGCAACATTAACAGTTGCACGGGTTTTTCCATCTTCCTATGAATCTATTAGCTGATAAATGCCATCGGAATTCTTCTGTTCCGAGGAAAGAGGTTGTCTCGGTCCCAATAACCATTCACTGCTATGAATTTCTTGGGCTGGAACGGACCTTGTTCCCGAATCTGCGGGATTACTCCTTTGTGGTGGTTTTGCTGAGATACGGCCCGTAGGTACGTGGAATGCCCAATGTTTCAATGGCAATAAGAGTATCCCTCCAAGATTTACATTCAGTTGCTGCCTCATCAGAGAGAGGTCCCAATCGACGGTTTCGGATATTATTTTCCTTAATAGGAGTTTCCCTTGTATAATCACTGGAGCCAGAAATCCAAGAGGATCGTAGATGCTGTTAATTGTTGATAAAATTCCTCTCCGAGTGATCGGTTTGTTTTCTGGTGACAATTGGAATAAGAAGTTGTCAGTGTTTATTGTCCCAGCTGAGTCCAAGACTACGTTGCAGGGGTTTTCTGTCGACATCTGAGTCTAGATCCTTAAGAATAGAAGCCAAATCACTGGCTTGAAATGCAGACATAACTTCCGCACAACTAGAGGCGAACTTGTGAAGCCTTGAGTTTCCATATTTTGCTAATGCTTGCTGTGTGTCCTTCATGAGTTTCACAGCTTCCTCCTTTGTAGGACATGACGTAAGACCGTCGTCGACATAGAAATCTCTTGTAACAAAGCTAGTCACGTGACTGCCAAACTCTTGTTCTGATGCCTGTGCTGCTTTTCTGAGACCAAGCGTAGCAACGGCAGGTGACGGCCTATTTCCGAAAACATGAACTCTCATGCGGTATTCGACAAGGTTCTCTTCTAGGTCGTTATCTTTATGCCATAAAAATCTCAGATAATTTCGGTGTTCTTTTCTGACTACAAAACAGTGAAACATGTGTTGAACGTCTGCAGTTACTGCGACCATTTCTTTCCTGAAACGCAGCAATACTCCTAAGAGATCATTGGTCAAGTCGGGACCTGTTAGCAGGACGCTGTTAAGCGAGACTCCGTTACATTTTGCGGAAGAATCAAACACACCCCGAATCTGATCGGGTTTCTTGAGGTGATAAACACCAAACAATGGTAAATACCAGCATTTTTCATGGTCGTCCAACGGTGGGGCAAGCTCTGCATGATTGTTGTCAAGAATCTTACTCATGAATGTGAGAAAGTGTTCCCGTTTTACTGGGTTCCTACTCAGACTGGCGTCTAATAGATTAGCACAATGAAGAGCTTGTTGTCTGTTACTTGGCAATGGCTGTCTTGGCACTCGGAACGGTAACGGTGCTACCCAACTTCCTTCCGTGGCCCTCAAAAATTCGTTGTCCATCTGCTTCATGAACATTTTGTCTTCATATGAAATTCCAGGCTTATCATCGTCTCTTGTTTTTTCAAAGAGTGGCGATTGTAAATCTTTCTTAACGGGATCTGTGTAATTTTCCCGGATGTCAAACTTGCTTGTGCATGGTTGAAACGTGGACGGTTGTCTTGTAATTATAATGTTGGTAATTTGGACGTTTAGTTCAAAAGGCACATGCTGTTTGTTAATGCAAGTTTCTCCTATCACTACCCAACCCAGCTTCAATTGTTGTGCATATGGAGTTCTGGGTGGTCCAATGCGCTGGTCAAGGATATGTTGTGCCTCTATAAGGTTTCTGCCAATTAAGAGAATAATTTGGCAATTTTCCTCTATTGGTGGAATGCAACTTCTGAGTTCTTGTAAATGAGGGTGATGCATTGTGACTTCAGGAGTAGGTATTTCGTCCCTATTATTTGGAATATGATCACATTCTATTACTACAGGCAGGTCAAATTTGTCATTACCATTTATTGATTCCATGACGAAACCTCTTCCTCTTTTCCCGGAAGTTACTACTCTGCCGGAGCATGTTGATAAGGTATAGTTTTCCGGTTTATCTTTTACGTCGAAAAGATGGAAATATAAGGCCAATGCTAGTGACCGGTTGCTTTGGTCGTCAATGATGGCGTACATCCGGATAATTTTGTCCTTGTTATCCTTGTGATAAACATTCACAGGTAGTATTTTAGCACAAAATTTTCAGCTATATGTATCCTTGCAGATATCGGTACAGGTAGAAGTAACTGAGGTTGACTTAGTTTCAGCCGATTCTGGTGGCTCCCTGCCGTAGGCTTGCTTGGGCTAGCTAGACTGAGAACTTGCAATTTGCTGTGGTTTAGTGATGTGAAGTGCAGTAGTGTGTTGTTAACTTCCACATTCTTTACAACTTATGCGTGCATTGCATTCCCGGCTTCTGTGTGTGGTGGAATTGCAACACTTGTAACATACATTGTTTTGTTTCAAAAGACCGTTGCGTACCTCTATTGACTTGGCCCGGAACGCTCGACATTCATTTAAGGAATGCTTTGTATTGTGCAGAATACAAAGACCTTGTTTAATAGCGTCTCCAGATTGCTGCTCAACCGCTGTTTTATGAGCACCAACTTTATTATTGGGGTGAGACGTGAACCTAGGCGCAGCACCTTTTGTATTAGGTGTAGCTTTTGACCCAAAGATGAACCCAGGGTCGTTTTTAATTTTGCTTATTTCACTGATGAATGCAGATAGCTCCGTAAAAGGCGGAAAGGCAACATCGTGGTTCGATTTATATCTAGATGCCCTAGTTATCAACTTTTCTTGAAGTCCATAGGGTAGTTTTTCAATGATAGGGTTTATTCCGGACGGTGAGTCGAAATAAGCTAGCAAAGATCCCAGCTAGGGATTTTCCTTGTGATATTCTATTTCTGATAAGATATCAGACAGTTCATAGAGACGTGCATTGTCTTTATTTGTCAAGGTTGGAAAATTGACGAGTTTACTTGTGAGAGAAGCCTCCAACATTTCTAGAGCACCATACCGCTCATCAAGCCTCTTCCATAATCTTTGTATGCCTTTTGTAGGATTATTTGCGTTCGACGCTCTTATGCTAATGGCATGTTTAGCAGACTCTGGACCGAGCAAATTGATCAGAAAATCTATCTGTTCCGAGTCCGAAACCTGTAATTTGTCTATTACGTTTTTAAAGCTGACTTCATGTATGGAAGGATTCTGCCCGGTCATTAAAGCTTGTTAGCCGGGAGAACAGCATGTCCTTGCGTAGGGGAAATCTGGTTATCTCCGACGTAGGGTTGATTTGTTGCTGTCGTGCAACAGGGATCTCTTCTGCAACACCCTGTTTTTGGTGTTTATCAAGGATCTCCTCTGAAACGCCTAGTTTTTGGTATGCAACAGGGATCTCTTCTGAAACGCATTGTTTTCCTATGCCAGTTATTATTCCGAGATCTGGGAATACTTTAACTTCCGGTGACTTAGCATGTGAAGGCAAGACCGCAGGTGTCTGTGATGGATGGCAGATTCAATGCCACGGAGGACACGAAGTCTGGCGCTTCATGACTTAGCTCAATTTTAACAGGAGTTTGTTTTTTCTGATGAGGGGCTGTCACTTCCTGTATGGCAGTTGGTTCAGGATGTTTATTAACAAAGTCTTGCACACGTTGGAGCAGGTCTTCCGTCTCGTCAGGGAGATCGTCTAGCGCTTGGCTGTCATGGTACTCTAGGATACGAGCCTTCGCTTCTGCGGCTGCAGCTTCTCTCTGTGCTTCTAAAAGGTTCAAATTGGCCTTTAGTTCAGCTCTTTCCCGGCTTACACGCGCAGCCTCTTGTTCCAATTGAGCTTTCCTGCGTATTTCGTTAGCTTTTCTTTGGGCGGCCTCCTGTTCTAATTGAACTTTTCTTTGAGCGACCTCCTGATCTGCTTGGATGGCGTCTTGCTCCATTTCGGCTTTGACTTCTGTTTGTCTGAACAGAGCTTGTACTTCTAATAAGGCTTGCTGTTTAAGGATCAGGGTATGTTTTTCAGCAAAGGCAATTTTAGACTTAGCAGTCTCTGCTTTGGCACGCTTCCCCCGTGCTAGGCTTGACATATCAGAGACGTTTGAGCTCCCACTGTGCGAGGTTTTCTTGCCCTTAGATGTCTTCGTTTTTGTAGATTTAACCTTTGTCAGGGTGAGGCGATGCTCGTGTAAAGTTTCAATTGCCAGGTCAACTTTAGACATTCGGATATACGTTGGAAGTTTACACGTATCAATGTCTTTAAGACTGTCTAACGTTCTTGTATTCTTAAGAAATTTCAAGTACTCGTCTGTGAGCCTGCGGTAATTAGTACAGGCTTGTACAATTTTATCTTGTGCTGTTTGCAATTGCTGGAGGTCGTTAGAAGGCGTGGTCGTTTCCAATAAATGGAATTCTAGGTCTGACCATAGGACCTCTAAGTCATGATAGAACTTGTCACGTTTCTCTGTAAAGGCTCCTTGTCCCTTTTCGTTAAGTTCACGTACTCGTCTAGTCTTGGCATTTTCATCTAAAGGTGTTGTAGCAGACGGGTTCTCTATTTGTTCTTTAACGACATCTCCCTCTGGGGGTTGAACCTCGTCCTGCTGTTCCGCGTGACTGGGATCCATGATGTAAATCAACTAACTGTAGGCAATGTTGGTTCAACGTTGTTGGTTTGCTGCCTAAACACACAAGCTATGTTGCGTAGTGTCAACGTAACAGCTACGAACGATGCTCCGTTGTATTTCCTGTTCAGGAGATGTGTAGACAAGTTGTTGTCAATTTACTGTACGTCAAGGGATGACGCGTTGGTTGTAGACGTAGAACTGACTTGAATTGGTGTAATCTGTGAGACACAACAGGCAAGTTGTAGACTTTTTACTGTAATGGCCTGACCATTAAGCATAACCAACGATTGGGCTCAAGCAATAAGACTATCAGTTGCTGATAATTTATTCTCAAACCAATCTAACAAATGGTAAAAAGCTGAAAATACAAAATAAAATACAATTTTACAATGTGTTCAATTAACTTTATAATGTATGAATGTCAAGTGTAGACAAAAGCAAAGTCCATAGAACGCGAAATAAAGCTGCAGTCATAAAGGTGAAGTTTCCAGTATATCACGGATAAAAGAGTTCAATTATGTGAAGAACGATTTGAATGCATCAAAGACAAAGTTATAAATGTAACTCACTCTGTGGTTAGCCACGAATTGTGTCCTAGATGACCTCTGTCCTCAGAATGTTCTCCAGTACTGAGATGACCTTGCAGTATTCAGTTTGATGTACGTGTAAGAAAGGGAAAGGTAACGATGATACGATGTTTTGACATTCTATACGGTTTAACGATGAATAATCCTCCTGGTCCGGAACGCATAAACTGATGAAGAATATAATTAAACAAACTTAATAAAATGACGAATGAGGTTACAGAATAGGAAAACATGTTACGCACAACAAAGCAAGAACAGAAATTTAGATATAATTTTACCACCAGAAAGAGTAACAGATTTACAAATTTGTTTTAATTCATTCCTTTACATTTGATTTTTCACTATCTTTCACAATCAATTAAAACCTTCTGATTCACTTTGTTGTTTTATTTTTAGCAATTATTGTGAGAAACCAAAATTACTTAGATATCGCTAGTTTTCATTTTACTTATTAACAATCTTTTGTGGACAAATTAAAATTATATTATTTGTCTTTAATTTTTATTAACTTATTGACTTTTTTTGCTGCATATTAAAAATCTGGCATCAATAACTATAAGTTACTTAATTTACATATGCATTCGTCTATGGTTTCTTTTAATTGTAAATATTTGTTGGAGGTACATAATATGACTAAAATCGATAACGTTTTAAACGGATTGAGTACAAATAAACGGAGTTGCTTTTCTAATTGAGTGAGTTACCTTACAGGGAGGCGGACAATTTAAAGTCTAATAGGACTTAATACCAATTTGATTTCGTTTAACGGGGCAGTGGCTAATTAGTTTGAAGTAGCGGTAAGTACATCTAGCATACTTACTTTTCTAAGGCTATTTACTATGAACAACAAAATTATTTATTTTGTAATAAATATTTCCGTCTTCCATGCATATTATTTTTATTTACCTGTGTACGTTATTTTATTTGGCGGCATTTTGTCCAAGGTTATGGTTGTCTTTCTGATATTGTTTTACATCTCACCCTCCTTTTTTTCTTAATTCTGTATTTACATTCTGTTTGTTTACTTGTTTTTTCAATTTGTCTTTTGATTGAGTTAAGCGATTTCAATTAATATTCTATGGTGTGTCTTTCTATGTTTTAATGTTACACTATTGTTTCAGGTTAGGGTGACGATTGGCGCCTGTTAAAACGTTTAAACCCGCTGCATTTGTTTGCACCTGTCCTAAGTCAGGAACCTGTTGTTCAGTAGTTGTCGTTTGTTGATGTGGTTCATAAGTGTTTCTCGTTTCTCGTTTTTTATATAGATTAAACCTTTGGTTTTCCTGTTTGAATGGTTTTACACTAGTCATTTTTGAGGCCCTTTATAGCTTGCTGTTCGGTGTGATCCACGGCTCCGTGTTGAAGGCCGTACTTTGACCTAAAATGGTTTACTTTTAAAAATTGTGACTTGGATGGAGAGTTTTCTCATTGTCACTCATACCACATCTTCTTATATCTATTAATATGAGTTGCAGCAAATACATTTACAATCAGATTCATTAACGATCATTTAATTGAATAGGAAATTGATCATTCACCGATCAGTCAAGATTGCCCTATCGATCTTCGCCGATCAGTCAACTTCACGTTAAACAGTAACGCCTAAGATTGCAAGTACTGTTCCATTTAGTAAACACTCATAATAGTTTTCCCGTCATATTTTATCATTTTTTTTGACGATTTTCTATACTTTTCTCGAATTAAAGACCAAAAACCGGATAAGAATTTATTATTGCATTCGCCTCTCATTGTTTTTTACATTGTGTATCTGAAACATTATGGATGCTTTTTTTATCACAAGGTCTACTAGTTGGTTTAAACGCCAATCAATTTTGCATTTAGAGAAAATTATCAATACTTTCTTCGTTATCTCAAATCTATTAACATTCATTGACATATCGATTGGTAAAAGCCATTTTCGAGAACATTTTTACAATCTGTGTCAAATATGTTCAACGCTTGAATCGTATTATCTATCTTAAACTGGTAAATAATTCCAACTTTTGCAAGCCTACCTATTTGAGAATTATGAATAATTTTGGTTTGAATAAGATTCTCAACAAAAGTAATCCATATCTTACAAAGCAGTCATATTATGTCAAATGGGATTACATTTAATTTCTTAAACTTTAAGTTAATAAACTCACTGTCCGTCAATAAGACATACCTGCTGTTAAATGAGAGGATCCATTTTCGTTTCAACTAGATCTTCATTGACGACGATTTTCTTGACTTTCCTGGAAATGCAGCTAACAAAAAAATAGAAATCAACAATAGTTGAGCGTGTTATTAGATTTTTACGCAATGAATAATTTTTATTAAATTTTTCAATCATTATATTCGTTGGAAAATACCTGTGCCAAGTAAGGAATACAACAGTTGGTTATATTCGTTTCGTTGGTTGAAATCGTCGAGAATTTGATTTTGTTAGGTTATATGGACTTCCGCCTTTTTAAGTTTACATTTGAGTTCGGTAAATTTGCTTATACTCTTTCTATAAACCAAAATACAGTTCTGGTTTGCCCAATTTGTGTTACAATGTATTGTATAAAACATCATGCACTGATATATTTGTACTGATTATATTTAAATCTTCTGATGGTGACAGCGTTGACGAATTTGGCATTAAGATGAAGTCTGTATTGTCAACTTTACGGAGACTTAACTTGATTGTAAGTTAAATTAGACTTGTAGTGAAATTAACAGTGATTTAGTGTGCTATTGATTTCTTTTGAGACATCGATTTATTTATTTTAAAGAAGCTTTTCAATCCTTTCAATTGATAACTCAAAATCTAAATATATCTGCCCGATTGGTATTACATTTTTTTGTCTGAAATATAGTGTTTGCATATTTTCAATGTAAATGCCTGTTACTTCTAAAATATCTTTACAATTATTTTTTCAGAACTTCTTGATTGCATTTATCAAATGATCAATTTGAAATTCATGTTGGTAAAATAAAGGCAACAGTAATATACCACTGTTCGAATGTCATAAATCGATTGAGAGAAAACAAATTCGGGTTACAAACTAAAACCGAAGGAAACACATCAACTATGGGAGAAAAACAACGAATTAATAGAAACACTGAAGTGAACAAAAAACAAACAACAATGCAACACACACAGAAACGATCTATAAGATAACAACTGCCATTTTCCTGACTTGGTATAGGACATTTTAAGAAAAAAGTGGGGTTGAACCTAATCGTGTGGCTAGCCAAACCCCAAGCTCTATGGCAATGTAAAATATAACACTAAAATGACAACATTACATGACAGGAATACAGTACAAATAAATGCAAGAACATTCAGGACAGAGAAATACACAAATAAACAATACAATGGTACATTTCGACATGCTAACCACAGAAAAAAAACGAACACGTAAAACAACATAGGACAGCACACAAAAACAGCACAACAGAACCACGAACTGTCTTTCAAATGACTGGATCAACGCCACAAAAGTGACGTCACAGGTCGTCTAACCCTAAAAACGCGGGGAAAATTTTGTATCATATTTAGTCGATATTTTAAATGATTGTTAAGCTTGCCTCGACTTTTAGATAAATAAACTGGTGCTGTAATCAGCAATGCCTAAGGGTATGAATTTAGTTTTTACATAGAGATTTTTCTAATAATAATTACTAAATGAAAGGTTATCGAGAGCAATTGGATGTAAAAACTATAAAGTCGATGACCAAGTGACAACGCCATAGAAAAAAAAAAAAAAAATAAAACGACGAAAAAGCCCAGTCGTGATGCTAATGGAGGTACAAACACAACGATAAGTCTATTTCGGTGATGACACGTGTGAGGAAATGATGAATGTAATATGGTACGACAATTGGACCATATATGTCATCATCTGTAAAAAAGATTTTCAAAAACGGTCAACCAATTATACAGCAGCATGTGAAATTAAAGGAAAAAGCTAGCATTTTTTTCCCTAAGAAGCTGCTGTATGAAATCCGCATCGTTTGACAAAAAGAACAAATATTCAAGATAAGAAGCATAGTTCGTTCCTATGAGAAGCCATTAAGTTTTTCAATCAATTAAATTCGGAAAAACAAAATGCAACTCTAGTTCGCTCAACTGTTGTTACAATGTATTATCTGCAAATGCATGCATTTGGACGGATTCTCAATAAGGTTTTGAATAAGAGGAAAAAATAAAAGTAGTAGGCAATCATGAGGGCCACAATGCCCGAACCGAGCATCGCAGGCGCGAAGTGGGTGAGCTCGAGAGGGGGTATACCCCCTTCTCGTTAAGAGAACATTTTTAAAATTTAGATTGCCGGAGGTGGCATCAGGGCTGTTCTGAGTATATTTTGACCTCTTATTCTTCATGTTAATTTGTCCATTTTTAGTAGCTCATTTAAATTTTTTGCTCAAAAACTGAAAATGAATGAGATTTTTTTTGGCAAAACTTGCTTCACCCCTTGCATGTTCAATGTTCTTCTTATTGCAAATCTTTATCACTAAGGGCTATTCCAGAATTGATTGTGTGGGGAGGGAAAAACACTTTTTATTTGAATAACATTTTGATTCATTTTTCCTTAACTTTAAGTTTTGATTGGGAAAATATGTAAAGTAGCCCATGCAATTTTTTTTATTAAAGTGCCTTTCTCCTCCCCATACATCCATTCCTGGAATAGCCCTTATAATTGTGTCTTCACTTCATATTATGTTTTAGTGTCTTGTATTATAGTTTCACATAGAATTCATTGAGAACATTAATTTATGCTTTAAATTTCAGTAATTCAAAATCTGGTCAGATTGATATTTAGAGGAAACCAGAGTTGCCTGAGGATACTAACAACCTGCAGTAAGCAACTGACAAAATATGGCTAGAACAATAATGAATTTTAAATCTAGGAAATAGGAACTATGTAGTGTCAACATTTTATCAGGTTACACTCAATCCTCTCTGTTGGTCAGAGGGAACAAGTTAAATCGGCACCTATAAAAAGTCAAATCGGCATCTGATCAAATAGGCACCTATTTTATAGTAATTACGGCATTTAGTTGGTCAGTTCAGCACCAAATAATATTTTTCATCTGTTTTCTGCTTTTTTATTATTTAGAAAAAAATTAACATCAATTACGATTTGTATAGATTTTATCGTTTTGTTTCAAACGCTCAAATGATTTGAAACTGGTTTATGTTTACGTTTATGAAGATGGAAGTTGTGAAAGTTGATTTTAACGAGAACTGTGTTGACAAAGGACGCTAGAGCGCATCTTTTATCCGTTTCATCTTTTCCAATGGAAACTGGTCATAAATGTCTCAGACTTACAATATCCGAAATGGTAGCTGTAAGTTTGTATTGGTGTGAATGATGGTTTGTAACAATTTTATTTAAAAAAAAATAGACCGTCTATTTGAAATACTGTTGGTGAAAACGTTGGTCTATTCCCGTAGCTTTTATCAATATTTTTCAAACATTCTTTGTATTTCCGCTTTCAAACTGGTTAATAGTTTAACATTTCTTTAGAACTATTAGACGTTTTAGGAAAGTCAATACGATCTTGACGCTGATGTTAAATACCAATACCACTACAGGCTATAGTGTGGACCACCTCATAAAGCACAGCTAATCATTCATTATAGTTACCTTTATGAGTTTGTTATGAGTTGATAATACTGAGATGATTTTTTAACAACTAAATTATAACAAATTTATTCCGCAATACACGGATGAGGATCCAGCAAAACAACACGGTCATTATTAATTTTATAACAATAAAATTGCATTGTATCATAGTAGTGATCGATTAAGTTTAAGATCGTTTCCCCCCATGTCTTACTATTTTGTTGAACGACTACAAGGAAAATCTGCAAAGTGATCAAAATAAATCAATAAAAAAAAACCACTGCAACCAAATCACATCCGAATCAGATTTGTTACTCTACATCAATCTTTGTTCAAAATGTTCGTTATTTGAAATTTATTTAAAACATATTTTTTATGTCGGGGCCTTTCATAGCTTTTATGCGGGATGGGTTTTGCTACTTATTGGGGGCCATACGGTGAACTATACTTGCAAACATTTACGTCATTCGGTCTCTGGTAAAATAGTTGTTTACTTTGGCACATCTCCTTATTTCATATCATTTTCTAGAATAAAGAAATATGTAGCTTAAAATTCTAATTAAAAAAAGACTAGAAATGTGTCTACTTGACAATTAAAACAAATAAAAGAATGAAACAATAGCGTATTCAATTTGATTATCTTTATCTTTTTATTTTATCTATAAAAGTCACTCTGGCAATTTAATGTAATGCTGAAAAGGGACAATACCTAAAAAACCCCGTTAAAATCTGTGAATTAATTATTCTAATTTAAATTTTAACTGACATTTTCTTTCTATCGACTTTTGTCAGTAAGTTTTTTCGACAAAAGAATTTATCGAATTAAGTTTTAAAAGATTACCACATTTGGGCACAATTCAAGCATGTTAGATTTACGTTTCGGTGAAGGTCGGAAAATTTTTTCCTTGGTATCACGGCTTCCCCCACCATCAAAACAGAACACCACAATTACATTGAGATAATGTCGAAAGTGGCGTTAAACATTCATATGGAGAAGTTAATTTTATTATCTTTGGGTCAGGAAGATATTTTGAAAATGGAATATTCATTTTCACCTCTTGCAAAGCCTGCTAAATTATATATCGGGCTATTTTTTTTTCGATTTCCTTCATTTTGTTTTGCCTAATGTTCACTATATACTCCGCTTTCCGCTTTCTAATTGGACGGTATATAGTGATGGGTGGATATATATATAAAAATCACATACAGCTCGTGAAAAGTGTTTTTCCTGAACATTAAAACGATCCGCAGCAAGACAAACTTCTTCCAAGAATTGTCACCAACTTGGAATTGGATTTTCCGCCAAACTGTGTTCAGTTATGTGATAAGATTTATGCCAACCTTCCACCAATTGTTACGCCATATAGGAGACACCAAATAAGGCAAAACGGAAAAGGGAAAAAAAGAAAATGCAAAAAAAAATGCAATTTATGGAGACATCCAAGACCCGATTCAAATCAAATCAAATGATTGAATTGTGTGCTGGACTTGTGAATAGGCACTTGTGTGAGTTATTTGACTATTAAACATATTCTACTCATATCATTTAATGTATATAATGTATATATTTGGACATGTTACCGTAAAATCCGTCATTCCCATTCTTGACCCTCATATATATTTTTTTAAAGTTTTGTTTTGCACTCCTAAATCAAACAAATACAAATGAATGTATGAAGATCTACGTAAGGCCAATGCACGTCTTAAAATTTGGAGTCGACTTTAACCGTTTGCTTCATATTGTATCAAACACACCACAAAGCTAAACTTTACTACGCCGGGATACTTTTGCATTTTGAGAAAATCCACACTTAAATCTTGTATCGGTATTGGTATTTAACATCAGCGCAGTATTTAAATCCCTTTCCTAACACGTCTATTTTTTTCATGTAGGTTGGATTTTGTTTTCAGTTAGCATTAAAATCAAATTAATTTACATCTCACAGAATAGTTATATTTTTCCTTGATAGTGCTACAAGTTATTGTCAAAAGCTTAAAGTTTATATATTATCTGACGGTTAATTGGAAACGGCAGTTACAAAAAGTGTCGAACAAATTTGGTGTATATTGTCAACAAATTCGATGAATGTCACAGCATTTCCTATAGAAAAAAGTGTTATGGAAAGTAAAAATGCATTAGATTGTTATTTGTTTGCATTGTACGTTGCCATTTTTAACAACTATTATCATGAATCTTCTTCAACTTTTAATCCTCATATCAAAAATGCAAATATATCTGCCAAACTGGTTTTATTATTTATTGACTTGAAACTTTATGTTTGCATATCATAAAGGAATGGTCGGCTAAGAATTTGGAACGGTCACTTATTTTAGTGAAAAAAAATATGATTAGTTATAACAATATTGATATCCAACTGACATGAACAATTATCAAGTTTAAATAATTCAAACGTTTATCAATAAAAAAACAAACACATATTTCTATATGTTCAACCTTGCTCATATTTCGATAATTAAGGCAACAGTAGTTTACCTAAGTTCAAACCTCGTAAATCTATTGCGAACAGAGAGTTTATGGTAACAAGCAAGACTAACGAAATCGCATGAACTCAAAAAGGAGCTGGACCGCTGACCGGGTAAACGTTTCCTGCTACGCCATTATTACCCCGCTTTGCGAATCAACTTTCAATCAAAATAACACAATCGGAACATTAATACAACAGGTGAAATCAAAGATCATACGGCTGTTCTGATATCTAATGATCTTAAACCGCGGAAGTATGTCGCTAGTGAATTGAGACACGGGAACAGTCTATCGGTCAACCATTTTGTGATGGTGACCATTTAACTTATGTTTTATCGGTTTTGTAATTCTTCCTCATCAATCTTGATATTAGACTCACTTGTATTCGTTTGAGCTTTTGATTTTGCCATTTCAAAAAGGACTTTTTTGTTATTTTACCTTTTTGTATATAATTTTGTAATTGAGTGCCAGGACATCATGAATATATCTAAAAATGGAAATTAAATGACTTTACATGTTGTTTTTGTTTTCATTTTTGCTGCATATGAGTATAAAAATTGATCGGTCAGTAGAATACCAGCTGTTTGATTGAGTATTAATTCACCAAATTCAATAAATCTATCGTAAAATCTAGCCTTAGATGATCTCATTTTTGGTGTATTTGTTTGAATCACAAAGTTTCGAAAATACCCCCCCCCCCCCACAAAAAAAAAAAAAAAAAAAAAAAAACAACCTTATTCCCGATTGACAGACTGACCCCGGTTTATTTTCTACTTGACGTACACATATATTGTACACATTATGTTATTTGCTGAAGGGCAAGCTAATCATTGACGAGAAATGTGTCATTTGGGGCATGTACGGGGAAGCGAAATACGCTTATCAGTATAATCATTTCTAGATGAAAAAAAAGTTCTTTTTCAAAATATTATGTTGAAAAAAATATTATAATTGAAAATAGCTATAGATATATTTTATTAATAGTTATATAATATTTACTAGCCGCACAAGTATTTATTCTTGGTCTGTCAGCGATACCGTCTAAATTCGAATTATGCCAGTGAACTTCTTTTTTGGAATAAGAAGTTATCTGGAATTTATTTTCAATCGATAATTTGACAAAATAACAACGAATTTATGAATTTATCGACAAATTATTTTGTAATATCATTTAGATCCTGGCTCAACAATTCACCATCCTTGAATGCATATATCTGTTCGTTCTATTCGTAATTCTTATTGGTAAATACCTTGATTTATTAATGTTCAGTAATGTCTACAAAAGGTAAGACTTGCAACGTATTCAAATCATTTTCATGCAAACTCAAGATGCATTTGTTGTTTATTTAATTTTTGTATCAATGTATTTATGACAAATCATGCTTTCATGCATAGCTACCGTCTATTTGAGCAACTTGTTCGTAAAAGCGGTTATCCATTTTGAGTTTAAATATGTTCAGTATTTTCCCAAATTTTTCCTTTTCTTTTAGATCTAAATCAAAAATTTGTCAAATAGCGAAATTCAACATTGATTAAGCATTATCTTTGTTATGTACGATCACATGTTGTGTTTCATTAAGTTTTAAAAAAAACATAATCCACCACTCTCAATGCAGATATATTTGCTCAAAGGGATTTCTTTTGTATTTTCAGAAACGTATAGTAAAATCACAAAAATACTGAACTCCGAGGAAAATTCAATCGGAAAGTCCCTAATCACATGGCAAAATCAAATGACAAAACACATCAAACGAATGGACAACAACTGTCATATTCCTGACTTGGTACAGGCATTTTCAAATGTAGAAAATGGTGGATTGAACCTGGTTTTATAGCGCTAAACCTCTCACTTGTACGACAGTCTTATCAAATTTCGTTATATTTACAACGATGCGTGAACAAAACAGACATTATAAATAAAATAGTCAAATATGGGTACAGCAGTCATCACTGTGTTACAATATCAAAACAAACAATTATTTACAAAAAAAGCACAAAAGCATCTATCAAATTAAGACCCACATTCATTGCTTCGCGTGTCTGACGTCAGAAAATGTAAACGTCACATAAGAAAAAAGTTTGTCATTCAATGTCTATTCAAAACAATTTTATAATTTCACATGGGGAATGTTGGTATACAGGGTTAAAAAATCAAAAGTTATGTTAGAATTAATTTCAGAAATAGACCGAGATTTATAATTGTCCAGAAGTTCTTCAGAACCCTTAAGAATCCACATATGGTAAATACCACTACGCGAGTAAAATAAATCTGTCGTTTGTCGTTCAAAGTATTTTCAAATTTATAATAGAACAATAACATAATGACATATAATAGAACAATAACATAATGACGGGATCTTTTAAAGTACAGAGTCACGTTATAAGAACCACAGAAACACAAAAAGTCGCATATACAAAACACACCAGTAAAAATTAAAGATAATACAAACACATTGACGGGATGTATAAGTACCTAGCCACGTCAAATGGATATCACAGAAAACAAACCAAACAGTAAAAGTAATATTAATAATAGAACAAAGACAAATGAAAGAACAATATTACACGTTGTTAAGATGATAAACAACGTCAGTATGCAGAATCTATACTTCAAGACCATCATGTATTGTTTGTGAAGTTGATACGGAATATTTATCAACAAGGTCTTGGTACCTTCCGATGAACTTTTTTAGAAAAAGGACGAGACGTTCTTTGACATACCCCTGGTTCATCAACTTTCTGCTCAGACACTGGTGACGTTTTACAAAGTCTGAATAAGAGCTGCAAGCTCTTGAATATCGAATAAGTTGGGAAATGTATATCCCATATGCAGGTGAAGTTGGTATATTGCTACTAAGGTGGGGGAAATTTATAATTTTAAAATTAAAATCGTCTCGTTTGTCATAGATTCTGGTACTGAGATGACTGTGTATGTCAAATTCGAGATACAAGTCTAAAAATGAGGCGGAGGAAGCCGTGTCTGTTGTTTCTTTAATTTCTAGTTCTGGGGGATATATTAATGGAACCCAATCAGAAAAGTTCGGATTGTTAATGGAAAGAACATCATCAATATATCTAAAAGTGAAATTAAATAATCTGGCTTCTTTGATCTTCTTGTTTTTGACAAGCTTATAGATATATGTTTTATGGTTAATTGAAGACACCAACTGGTGAACACGCGTATTATTATTTTGATCAGACTTTGTCAATATCGTTGACGTTATTCAAGACTATCACCGAAATCAAGAAAACTGATTGTTTTGAATTTGAATTAACTTTAGAGTGTAATTTCTATTTATTGTTTTAAAATCATTCTTGTATATATTTGTACTGGATTCACTTGAAATACCTATTGATATATGGAAAAAAAATTCCACAAAAGTCAACACTTTATAACTTATTCAGATCTAAAGCTTGACAAGAAATGTATCATTGCTTTAGTATGATATGTATCATATGAGTTGATTTTGTTCATTATTTAGATATGTGTACAATTACTCGTGTAAAACCTCAAGTTTACGTATAACCTGATGTCAATCAGAAATACCTGTTTGTAATGGTGCCCTTCCATTTTCGCTCATATGAGGTCTGTATTGTTGACGATTTCCGAGTCTTTCCTTGAAGATAAAAGATGGTATGGAAATGAAGAATGCTTTATCTGCCAAACTGTTTTTTCCTTCTTTTTTTCTGAAACATCATTCCGTAATATATTTGTTTATTCGTCTAATTTAAAAAGCTAATTGCTAAATATGCTGATCTAATTTTCATTCATATTTGGTCTATATTATGGTCCATTTCCGGTACTTCCTTGTAATTTCATATAAAAAAAAACTAGTATAGAGATTAACAATGCTGATTCATGTTGTGTGTTTTTAGTGTTGTTTTGAATATTTTTGTTAAATGTGAAAAGAAGCAATATTTAGATATTACATCGCATTTGATATGAATTTGCATATCATCGTGGCAACGTCGTATATAAACTGCAACTTTCATTCTAGTCATCTGTTATATAAGATTTCCTTTTCGATTGTCCAGATCACGTAACAGCGTTGCATGTCTCGTTATAGTGCTGAAGGTAATGGGTTCAAAAATCCGGCTCAGTATGTAGGTATTCATATCGCATTAACATGGTTTGTCCTATATATTGATTGAATTTGCTACTGTACGTCAAACAGTAATCAATCATTTTTGTCTATATAGCTATGTACATTACGATACAAATCAAATTAAAATCAATACTTAAATTAATATAGAAATGAAGTTTCATTAACATGAATTCCTCACATTGTCACAGGACTTCAAATGGTGAAGATGTGAAGTTTTGTTTTCAAATATAACAATCACAAAATTATCACGTTGTTGCCATGTGAAATTAAAAATCTATTTATAACACGTGAAATAAGTGATCTCGAACTTGCTAAAGTGTAAACATACTTGTTTTCCGAAGCACTGTTAATAATAAACAGCTAAGAATCTTGAGTAATATAAAACTTATATTCGTTTTTTTCAATAATAAAAATAAGAGGATAAGCTGAGCTTTTTTAGTGATCTGCATCTCTGATTTAGTGACATTTAGATATCATAACGTCTTATACTGAAACGATATAATTACCATGAGCCGAATAGAAGTTTTCCTAAAATGCTGTTATTCAGGATTTCATACACTACTAGGACCTGAAAAATTCATCATGTCTTTATGCTAGTTATTGTTGGTCGAAGGAAACTTATTGAAAAGTTTTCCCGTCCGATATAGCTTACATACGCACAGGCGACTCACAAAGGCAAATAATTCTAAACAAACAAATAAATTTTAATACAACGGGAGCTTGTATAATGTTATTTGTCTGCGTTCAAATGTTCTTTTTATTATATGTACTCAAGCGATAGACTGAAAAAAAAAACTTAACTGCATTGTCTATACTCAGAGAATGGATTATATTACATGACACAAAGGTGACTGTGATACAGAACGTCTTTTTTAATCTTTTTTTATGTTTAATTATTCTATTTCTAATTAAACTATCTTTAGTTTATTGTAAATTATTGCACAGTTTTTCAAATGCTACAGACAAGAAACGCGTAACCTATTTGTTTGATATGAGGACGAAACTCGTATTGCGACCTCTTTTTGTTTCTGGTTGATAGTGTCTCATTGTCCATAGTACTAAATTTGAATATAAATGCCAGTTAAGAATGCATAATTTCATTTATTTACTGGGTCGATACCACTGCAAGTTGACTATCAATCAGTCCCCGAGGGTATCATCAGCTCAGTAGTCAGTACTTCGGTACTGACATGATTTATAACAAACCTTTCTAAAATTGTTCGTTAATAAATTTTGAAATTATAAAGAAACTAAGGGTTTAACCCTCTCACGCACAGTTGACTTTAGATGGATTTGGCTTTTTAAGGTCCTTTTGGTGATACAGATCGTCAACTGTGTTTGGTTCCTATATATCCTTCGCTTTCAAATATTTGGCTTTGAGCGTTCTTGATGCAGGTAAATCAAGAAAAGCGCTTCGGACTCATGCAATTTATAACGTGTTGTTCTCATTTGTTACAGCACTGGGTCGATACCTCTGCTGGTAGACTATCAGCTCAGGAGTGAGAACTTTTCTGGTTGATAGTGTGTCATTGTCAATATTACCACATTTCAATATAAGTGCAATTTCAGAATGTATAATTTAATCTATTCACTGGTCGATACCTATGTTAGTGGACTATCAGTCCCCGGGGGTATCATCAGTTCAGTATTTATTATTTCGGTATTGACATGGTTTATAACAAATATTTCTTACATTCTTCGTAAATAAATTTTGAAATTATAAAGAAACTAAGGTTTCAACTCCCTTAGTCAATGATTACCGTAGTTGAATTTGCCTTTTTTAGGTCCTTTTTGGTCATACAGAAAAGCGCTTTTAAAACGTATTTTCTTCATTTGTTTCAAAAAAACATTCTCTGTAAAGTTGTATATATCTAAAATGAAATATATGGTGATCCGATTTCTATTGTTATGGTGATGAGTAAGGCTGGAACTACTTCATTAAGTTTCAAACTGTAGCATAATGAAACCATTTCTGTATATGGATTATTTCCCCAATTAATGCTTTTCACAAAAAAAAAATGTTCGAGTAGAAAAGAACACTAAAATTGAGAATGGAAACGGGGAATGTGTCAAAGAAACAACAACCCGACCAAAGAGCAGAACAGCCCATGTCCACCAATGGGTCTTCAACACAGCGAGAAACTCCCGCATCCGGTGTCGGGCTTCAGCTGGCCCCTAAACAAAAATGTGTACTAGTTCAGTGAAAATGGACGTCATACTAAACTCCGAAACATATAAATGAACTAAAATTAAAAAAACATACAAGACTAACAAAGTCCTGAGGCTTCTGACTTTGGACATGCGCAAAAATGCTGCGGGGTTAAACATGTTTTTTTTTATCTCAACCTTCCCCCTATACCTCTAACCAATGTAGAATAAACAAACACACAGCAATACGCACAGTAAAACTCAGTTTAAAAGAAGTCCGAGTCCGATGTCAGAATAGGTAACAGAAGAAACTAAACAAAATGACAATGATACATAAATTAACAAAGGACTATTAGCAGTTACTGACATGCCAGCTCTAGACCTCAATTAAACTGATTGAAAGATTATGTCTACATTATATAAAAATAAAGCACATTCACTCCCGCCAGGGGTTTAGTATCATACCATCATATAATATATGAGAAGAACATAACCCGTATCATTCCAACAACTGGTTTTATAATAAATGTGTTTATTTCCGATGCAAAGACACTATGAGTGAATCAATATTAATTCCAAAATATGCCATCTTTAATGACCTGACAACAGTATCGTAACTATATTCCTTCTGAATAAGTCTGTTTGAAGGTTTGGTTAGCTTTTGAGGTGGTTGACGACATTTTTGTGCTTTGTATAGAATATTACCATAAAATATTGGATGTGAAATACCTGAACGTATAAGATGTCTGCATGTTGATTTACATTTACGAATGATGTCCTTGTACCGATAATAAAATTTAGTAAATGTTTTGACTAGTTTGTGATATCGGAAACCCTGGTGCAATAATTTTTCAGTAATACAGAGCTTTCTTTCGTTAAAGTCAAATACGTTGTTACATACACGAGCATATCGAACAAGTTGAGATATATAAACACCATAAGATGGTGGCAAGGGAATGTCACCCTCCAAAAATGGATAGTTAAGAATAGGAAATGAAAAATCATCTCTTTTATCGTAAAGTTTGGTATTAAGCTTCCCGTTAAAAATATATATATCAAGATCGTTGAAAGGGCAGTGTTTATTGTTAGTATAAGCTTTATTTAAGGCTAGTTCTGCAGGATAAATCTCTTTAGTGTTCACACTGAAGTCGTCATTATTGAGAGCCAAAATATCATCCAAATATCTAAAAGTGTTATTAAATTTTTGTATCAGATGTTGTTTCGATGGATCTTTGCTTATTTTAGTCATAAATTGTAACTCATAACAATACAGAAACAGGTCCGCGATAAGTGGTGCACAGTTAGTCCCCATTGGAATTTCGATAACTTGACGATATACGGAATCTCTATGGCGAACAAAAATGTTTTCTAGTAAAAATTTAAGTGCAGTTATTGTAACAAAGCAGGTCCAATTGACATAGTTCTTTTGTCTGTTGTTACTAAGAAATGACCTAAAACAGTTTGAACATATATATTCCCATTCTGATCTTTTGAATGCCCATTTTATTAGATGTGTGAATTGTTTCTTAATGAGATTATGGGTAAAGTGGTATATAGGGTAGAAAAATCTTAACTTTGAACAGATTCGAAATCACCAATATTAGCATGCAATTTATCAAGTACTTCCAACGAGTTTTTGACACTCCAAAAGAAATTAATTCCACTATTTTCAAAGGCCTTATTTGAACAATTTATTACCAGGTTTTTGATTGTACCAAATTAACTAGTAAGTAGAATAGACAGTTTAGTAGTGAAATAATGGCTTGAAGACGAAATAAATCTATATATGTAAGGTGTTTTATGCAGCTTCGGAAGCCAGTACATAGTTGGAACTTTCATTGTAGTTGGTTCTGCCGGTAAGGAGGTAGCTTAAAGTTTATGTTTGTTACAGATGTCATTTTCCGAAAATGGAATCAGTTTGAATGTTGGTGAATTCGTGATTTCGTTTTGCAGAACCTCAATGTAAAATTTACGTCAAACAATAATGATATTATTGGTAGCCTTATCAGCCGGGACAAAAACAAATTCCTTGGCGAGTTTTTTTAGCTTATGTTTGATACGAGAAATATGGCTATTATGGTTGTTGTTAGGAATTAAATGTTCTTCACTTTTAAATTTATGGGGTCTTTTAAATTATATAACAGTAGTATACCGGTGTTCAAAAGTCATAAATCGATTGAGATAAAACAAATCCGGGGTACAAACCAAAACCGAGGGAAATACATCAACTATAAGAGGAAAACAAGTGAACAACAGGAACACCGAAGTGCAACAAAAACAAACGCCAACATACATAGAAACGAACTATTTAATAACAACTGCCATATTCCTGACTTGGTACAGGACAATTTGAGAAAAAATGGTGGGTTGAATCTGGTTTCATGGCATGCAAAACCTCCCGCCTTATGACAATGTTATAAAATATCGCTAAAACACTACGTGACAGAAATACAGCACAAAAACACGCAAGAACATTAATAACAGAAAAACGCACAAACAAATAATATAATAGTCGACACAACATGCAAACCACAGAACAACAACGAACATATTCCATCAAAGAAAAACACCATAGGATATCAAAAAAGTGACGCGCGTACGTAAATGACATGCAATCTCGAACATTATACAATTATTTTTACAATATTCGTCCAAACAATTTACATGCCAATGATGGTATGGAAAGGCAATTTTAAAATCATTTGGACTACAAACAATAAGACATAACAGATTATCCAACCGAAACGATATTGAAACATCAAAATAAATCCATAAATGTTGGATGTACAAAACACCGAGACACGCCGCACAGCAATGCAAATTCACATTCAGTATAACAGTCATATTCGGAAATATGACAATGATGGTATTAAAAAGCAATTTTATAATTATTTGGACAACAAACGATACGATATAACACATTATTCAACAGAAACTATAACAAAAACATCAAAAAAAATACATAAATGTTGGATGTACAAAGTACCGAGACACGTCGTATAGCAATGTAAATTCACTCTCGGTATAACAGTCATATTCGAAAACAGGTCACATTCGATACTTAGCAGACAGACGACGATGTTGAACCACAATCTAAGACGTGGTAAAAATGTCATTAGTTAGTTTAGACACAGACACATCGTATAGATCAATCAATTTGTGATGGTGTACATAAAATTTACGGAGTGTCATTTTTAATCTTTCCTCCTCATAACTCTGTTGGAGCAGTTTCTGCGTAAGGAGCACACTCCTGTATATGAAGTCAGTATAGTGTGAACATGCACGAGCATCACGTATCAATTGAGATATGTACACACCATACGACGGAGCAGAGGGTATGTTACTGCAGAGAAATGAGAAATTGATAATTGGGAAGTTGAAATCATCCCGTTTGTCATAGATTTTAGTGTGAAGTCGTCCATCTGTGTCAATATTGAGAAAAAGATCAAGGTATGAAGCAGTCCTTCTTGCATCAGTAGTATCCTTAATTTCAAGTTCACTGGGATATATGAGATGCAAGTACTGACTGAAATATGGATTATTCAGTGATAGGATATCATCAATATATCTGAAAGTAAAATTGAAGAACTTTGCAAGGTGCTTTTTCTTTTTGTCTTTTAGAAGGTTTTGAAAAAATTCTGCTTCATACGAGTACAAGAACAATTCGGCCAGAAGGGGTGCACAATAAGTACCCATTGGAATACCGACTGTCTGTTGAAATATCAATCCCCCAAGCTCAACAAACATATTGTCGATTAAAAAGTCCAGCATTTTGATAATACCATCTTTACTGTATTTTCTGATAGAATCAGTGTGGTTCTTCACAAAATAAGAATTATTATAACCCAAGACAAGAAATTTATATCTACGATTCCCATTTTCATAGAAAAAGCTCTGTTTAATGAATTGGTGAAGTCGATCTTTCAATTTAACATGGGGAATAGCAGTGTAAAGCGTAGAAAAATCAAAGGAAGGTCTTAATGTTGCTGCAAAATTGCAATGGTTGTGATCTGATCTTTCGAATTTTTGAGCTCTTTTCGGAGGCATTGCAAAAAATGGTTTTTACATACGAAGACAATATTATTGGAGGCTTTATCTGCTTTCAAACGATAAAGATGTTCTTGCGTGCGTTTAGATAAATACTACTAATTGACTTGATTATAAGGAAACACTTGGCATAGGTTCACTGCATAGTAGTAGCGCATTTGAGTTTTTGGGGTCCAAAATGAAAGAACCACGTAGTTTCAGGTATCTTTATCAAATCCGAAATATGCGATACCGAAATTCGCCAAAAAAAGTGAACTCATGCTATAATTATGAAATACGAGAAGCTGGAAATAATTATTAAAAGATATAAAACAAAATAATTACAAAGTAGAATATGTTCCTGGTAGCATTAAATATGAGTTTTTTTTATTTTGAGGAAACAAACATGGCATACTGCTTGCCTTAATGAGTTTGAAGACTTTATCTTGTGATAAAAACTCAGTTTAAGCTTTTTTACTTGGAAATAGTGAGTATTGAGCTACATGTATTCTGAAAAAACTACATCGGTTTTGACAATTTTCTTATTAAGATTAATCTATTGATTTAGACCAGAAACAAGTGAAAATTCCATTTTTCTGATTAATATTTTATGTAGCACAGTGTGTGATGTAGTCATTGTTCATAATTCATCTTTTTCCTGCAAAAAGATTTATCAAAATATATTGTCAGTACTTCTTATTTCAATGGTTCATACATGATATGTCCTGATGCTAAGAACTTCAATTAATTGATACTATATGCTTTTAAAAGAGAGACGAAAGATACCACAGGGACATTCAAACTCATAAGTCGAAAATAAACTGACAACGCAATGACAAAAAAGGGACCAACAGACAAACAACAGTACATAAAACACATCATAGAAAACTAAAGACTTAGCACCCGTCGTGTTGCTCATGTTAGTACAATTCTGGTGATAAGTCTAATTCGTTAAGTCACATTTAGTGAAAAAGGAACGAGGTTGAAGTTACGACAATTGGAACATATCCGTTGTCATCTGTGTCATAAGTGTATCATTTAAATAGTAAATTAATCTTTTTAAAGTTTGCCAGACTAGAACGCATTTAAAATTTTATTGTATTAATGTAATATATCTCCATGATATTTTACCTTATATTAACATCAGTTTATAGATTTTAGCAACATGATAATTAATCTAGTAATATTTTAATGCTAATCTACTATGTACTTTAATATAACTAACGGTCACTTTTATCTCAATAAGCATGCAATAATACTATTATACCAATGCTTACATTATAACGAAATCGTGTCTCCCTCTGGCAATTCAAAAACGACACTAAAAACATTCTGCAAATGAAACATATAAATGTATTATCAAAATTTGGAAGAAAAACCGACATGGTTAGAAAATACAAATAATTACAGCATTACAAACACAAATCCATTTTATTATTCTTGTCATGGTTAGAAAATACATAAAAATAACACCATTACAAACTCAATCCCAATTTTATATTCTATTTTTAGAAATTTACCTGTGATAAAATAAACGTCACAAAAATACGTCACTTTTTGTGGCATTGATACATTCGTGTGACGCACAGTTTATAATTCTATTGTGGTGTCCTGGTGTACTGTCGTAATTTATGGGAGGTGTCCGTTGTTATTCTGTGGTTTACATGTTGTAATGTACTATTATATTATTTATTTATGTATTTCTCTGTGCTGAGTGTTCTTGCGTTTATTTGTACTGTATTCCTGTCACGCAATGTTGCCATTTTAGCGGTATTTTTAATTTTGCCATATAAGCGGGAGGTTTGACTAGACATAAATAAAGGCATCAGTAGTATACCGCTGTTCGAAAGTCATAAATCGATTAAGACAAAAACAAATCCAAGTTACAAACTAAAACCGAGGGGAACACATCAACTATAAGAGGAAAACAACGAAACAACAGAAAAACTGAAGTGAACAAAAAACAAACGACAATGCAACACACAGAGAAACAAACAATAAGATAACAGCTGCCATTTTCCTGACTTGGTAAAGGAAACCAGGTTCAACCCACCATTTTACTTAAAATGTCCTGTACCAAGTCAGGAATATGGCAGTTGTTATCAAATAGTCCGTTTTTATATATATTGGCGTTTGTTTTTGTAGCAGCTCAGTGTTTCTGTTGTTCCGTTATTTTCCTCTTATAGTTGATGTATTTCCCTCGGTTTTGGTTTGTGACCCGGATTTGTTTTCGCTTAATCGATTTTTGACTATTGAACAGCGGTATTCTACTGTTGCCTTTATTGATATCAACTCGAGTAATTTAATTTCAATATAATAATATACGAGCCTTCGGCGAGTTTATTATTACTATCTAAATTAAATAACGAGAGTTGATATCAAGCGATATCCAATTCTTACAAGTTGTTAAACCTATTCTCTTATGTTCAACACTCTCTTTGTGTTAAGTTAAAATTTCCGCGAAGAGTTGATCTAGTCTTTTGCACATTCAAGTATGACGTCACATGTCCTGTTCCGTTGTCACACTTTTACTTTGGACATTTTAAAACTTTTTGTACGTTTCAGAATGTAATAAGATTTGACTAAAAAGAAGATTTTCATGTAAAAAGTGTGAGTGTTTTGTATATTATTGAAGAAATCACATATGACTTTCGAACAGCGGTATTCTACTGTTGCCTTTATTGATATCAACTCGAGTAATTTAATTTCAATATAATAATATACGAGCCTTCGGCGAGTTTATTATTACTATCTAAATTAAATAACGAGAGTTGATATCAAGCGATATCCAATTCTTACAAGTTGTTAAACCTATTCTCTTATGTTCAACACTCTCTTTGTGTTAAGTTAAAATTTCCGCGAAGAGTTGATCTAGTCTTTTGCACATTCAAGTATGACGTCACATGTCCTGTTCCGTTGTCACACTTTTACTTTGGACATTTTAAAACTTTTTGTACGTTTCAGAATGTAATAAGATTTGACTAAAAGGAAGATTTTCATGTAAAAAGTGTGAGTGTTTTGTATATTATTGAAGAAATCACATATGTATGTTGCCATGGACGAAATGTACATCATCTTAACCTTTGAAAGTCATCAATGACCAAACAAATAGCCAATGGAAATGTCGTAATATCGTTTTATGATGCTTGATAAGCCAATCAAATTAACGCAGATGTTAGTATCAAACTCTGTGCAGTGTGATACGAGAAATATCTCATCATGCAAGAAATAGATAACAGAGATGAATGTTAATTCTGATAATTTCGATTATAATGTTGTTATACTTGTCTGATGCAATAATACTATATAGTTATCTCAGTAATTATTTAGCAAACCCTTTGAATTGAGTATCAGTAATCATCATTTCATTTGTACACAAGAGGTAAATAAATCGAATATTGATTACAGCAATGAATTAAAGAATCAAACAACTAACTTTAGAACTAAATAATCATGGTGTGATTAGTTGAATGAATACCGAATACTACTATTCAAGATGCCTACATATTCCACTTAGATATGATCGAGTATGTGTCATTTGTTGGTAGATGCACATTAATTTGTTACTTTTTCTGTCTTTGTATTTATTGTATTTTCCCATTAAGATAAGACTAATCGAAATAATGCAATTAAAGCAATTATAGGACTTTAAAAAAAAATTATGCTTAAATCTAACAGAAAAGTTGATATCTAACATTGAATAAAGTAACTCTCTCTTAGGGCACCAGTGATCCTTTTGTGTTGGTAGGTGTGTTTAAAAATGGAAAAGGAGGGGGAGGGGAGGCTAAGTATATGTTTTAATCTTAGTTTCTTGAGAAAATAAGATATGTTTAGGAAGCGAAGAAACATTATATAGATTGTTTTGTTTCTGAAATAAAAAAAAAGATACTTAGTTGCTCATGGGTAATATTAACATCCTATTCTTGATTAAACGTATGTTTTCGATCAACTGTTACTGCCCGTTGTGATCAGCAATGTATGTGTAAACATCTAGCTAGAAATCTTGTTAAAAGCCAGTATTGTCGACATATCTGTCTGTTAAAAGATAAAATATGTGATAAATATATAAGTTTTGTTCGCTTTCAACCAACAAAATGAGAATAAATGGAGCTTGTCAGTAGACAGTTATAATTTACAACGCACTTACCGATTTCAGCGTTACTAATGAGTCACGCGCGTCTGGCGTTTACATTTTTTATCCCTGTTATCTCATTTTATGTACCACAACATCTATGTAAAGTCCATATTTTCACCGTTATTTGTGTACACCGAATTTCATGACGAATGAGTGTGACATTTACAAGCTAGAAATTGACGTTAATGATTCATAGTTTTTTTTTGCGATTTCTAAATGTAGCCTGTTAGTGGTCATGGGAACAATGGTCATGAATGAACTCTTTCCTTATTTTGAGATAATGATGTCGAAATGTGACAGGTTTATAATCCCTTGATTTAAGACCAGCCAAACAATCAACATTTTATAGCAATTTCACCGAAAATTTAATGTATTCAATCAAATTTCGCATAGTTAACAAGATGAAGTAATAGATGAGAATCTGATGCAGTCATCGAAAGTCAGTGTGAAACAGCAATTACCAGCCCGCGATTGAAGACATTTTGCGTTTGTTTTATAAAATATTTTGGTGTTTTATATAGCTGATTTGGGAAGCATCTAGTTTTTTGGGGGTATTATCTTGTTTTTTTGGTTATTTTGGAATTTCTATTGTCCGCCTTCCGGCAAACATTTTCACTCGTAGGGTATAAGTTAAAATTTGTTGAAGACTTATCAAATTTGACATTAACTAGCAGTCCAGTTGGCATTTTTAAATCATTTTTCGACAAATAACATTTATCAATCTTACATGTTAGGAAATGCCCAATTTTTTTAAAACTCTTATAGTATACAATCTATATTAATGTGAAGCAGCGTGGATATAAGAGTACTTCAGAATATATCACTAGTTTGAAATTTGAAAAAGAAATCACTCAAAGTTAGCCCCTACCTATTTTTGGTCGGTCGTTATTTCTCTAGAACGAGCCCCAGGTTGAAACGTCGAAATACAGCGCAAGATCATGAAAAGCACTCAGAAAAAAAGTCAAATCCATTCGTAATAATTTATAACCATCCTATACCTTTTTGATAAATGATAGAGACACATTAATAATTATACATACGATAACGCCATGGCATTGTCAGTTTGTGCTCTGTCTTTGCATTTGAATATCCCTTTGGTATCTTTCGCCTCTCTTTTATAGCTTTAATGATTCATTTTAGTGAAGTTTGAATTGTAGTTTAAGAGATATTAAATTACTTTCTTTAACAAGGAAAACCTGTCAATTATAAAACAACTAATCAACGATGCATGATTGTTATTTATCACAATAAAAATAAGTTAAAATGTTTTTGTTATTTGAGTTTATGTGGTTCATAGATTTAACAAAAGAGAATTTTACACTTAATGTATTCAAAGATGATGTTGTAGAACAGTATTTGCGAAGAATATTTAATACGACACATTATTATTATGTATGTTAGAATAATCGTTATTGAAAAAGAAATATACACGCGATAACATCTTCAATTTTTATTTAATACTTTCTGCATTTTGCTAACAGTTTTTAATTGAATATAGAAAACAAAACGGTTTTAAAAAGAAGATTGTCAGTTGAACCCCAGGACTCAAGTTCTCTCTTATTTATATTGTAACACATCTGCGCTCATCACCATTGCATTTTTACTTTAAATTAACTGCATGTGTGCGCAGCCTTTTATAATATTTCATTTTCGTCAAATAGCTCAACAGACGAAAAATGTAAAACAAATATCAACATTTTATTTATTCAACTACATTTTCTAGCGTTAATTACAAGATCAGAGTCATGTATGTGTTTTCAGCTTTTACAAACACTAATACCCTGGTACTATAATATATCCAAGTTAAAAAACAATCTTTGGTTATAAGATGGCTTTATTTGATGCAAATTTAATGAATAGGCTAAACGTCAGTGTTTAAGCAAGCTTTCGGCATAAATAAATAGTTTGTTTAGGTCACCATTTATTACGTGACCAGTCGGATTATATTTGAATGAAGCACTACAACAGGTGTAGTCGGTAGATTAAAACTTGAAGTCGTCAATATTGCGACCCTGCAACTCGTCTTTCTCATTGAAAATTTAAGTCGCAATTTGTTTGGTATAGGCATATATATAACAAATAACCAGACTGATCTATAACGTATGGAGGTTTTTTTTGTGTCGACTTATTTATGAAGATGGATGTTGTGAAAGTTGATTGTATCGAGAACTGTGTTGACAAAGGACGTTAGAGCGCATCGTTTCTACGTTTCATTTTTCCAATGCGAACTGGTCATAAATGCTAAGACTTACAATATCCGAAATGATAGCTGTAAGTTTGTATTAGTTTGAATGATGGTTTGTAACAATTTTATTTAGAAAATGGAGTTTTGCAAGTGAAGGTTAATAAAGCGTCGTGCGGATGTTATAAATATCTAACAGCTTCTGTATTAATGACAGATCATTAATATAGAGATCATGTGATATATGTGATGTAAAATAACGATGACCATTAATGCGTCAACGTCAAACGGCAGAGTTGGTTGAAAAACATGTATCACATTTACCGAGCTGCAGGAAGGACTAGATACAATACTTCTACCCTCAGTGTTGTCATCACAACCATATGGTGTCACAGTTTTCTTTAACCTTTTTTTGATTCAAGCGGCACTGTTGATTCTTTTGTAAAACGAATCGTGCGATAGGCGTACAAGATTATAAGCTGGTATATTCGATGAATTATTTTCGAATTCCCGAATTCAGTAGTCCTTCTTTTGCACACACAGAGGTGTTGCTTGATAATGATTGTGATTCCTGTAGTTAAATATTCGGGGATGCGATCTTGCCTTTTTAACCTTTTTGATTCGAGCGTAAATGAGTCTTTTGTAGACGAAACGTGCATCTGGATTACAAAATTTAAATCTTGGTATCTATGATGAGTTTACTTGCATAAAAAATTGGAATGATCATACTAATAAAGATGTTCAAAAACAATGTAATTTGCATTGTTGTTTATGTCTGATCTATATACCACGCAAACATAAATCAAGCCTCTTTTTTTGTGTTTTGTTTCACCAACCCACCACATCCAAGTCTACAATGGTTACACGTTGATTCGAAAACAAGATTTGTTGATTTATAATTCAGATCATCGTCGATTCTGGTATAATAAGAAACTTTATTTAAATTCCTAGGAAATTGAGCATCTGTTACCGACATTTCACAGGGTTTGCAGTCTTTGAATTTCCATTTTAAAATGAGACACTGCTTATCAGAAGCATGTATATACATCTGCGCTTCAGTATGCAGTTTCCAAATTGCAGTTGTCACTTTGTATTACTAGACAAATTCGGTATTACGGTTACAACCACCTATTGGTAGGCCGATACGATGTATCATTTAGTCGCTTAATCTATAATTTTACTGATTATGTCCTATCACCGATTTGAACATTTTAACTATGCTGACTTCGCTTGGTGGATAATGCATGCATACCAGAAAAAGCTTATCATTTCGACACATCAAGTTTCGAATATTTTGGAGTTCTTGTGATTTCTTTATTTTTTGTCGGTCACCTTTGCCACTTTGAAAACTTAACTTGAAGATTGTTTCATTGTTTTCTATTATAATAACCTGTTTTTCATTTTAGCGTAACGATGTATGAATAAACTCATCGTAGATACATTTTGTACCAGGATTACAATTGTGTACGCCAGAAATGTTTCGTCATTTAAAGACTCATCAGTAAGGATCGAATCATAAAAGTAAAAAAGGCAAACTAAAGTACGAAATTGAAGATTCTTAGTATTTCGAAAAATCAAAGTTTTGTAAACAGTTAATGTATATATATGACCATATCAACGATAATTCATAGCAGTACAGAAGTACTGACTGCTTGTTTGGTGATACCCTCGGAGAAGAAACTTCCACTATCAGTAGCAACGACCTAGTAGTTGTAAATAAACTCATCATTAATACCAGCACTTAAACTGTATACGCCAGACGCTCGTTTATTCATTTAATTTATTCACTTGATTTATTGATTCACACAACAATTTCAGACAGGTTTTGTTTTTGTTATTATCGTTGTAACTTTTGAAAGATATATCTTGCAGTAGGGACTCTTTCAAAGAGAATGGCTGACACTGGGTTCAACTTCTGTTTCAGTACACATCAAACTTTTCACTGTTTCGCTTTACTGTATACCTATTTGTGCGCCTAGTTTTGTTAGACGTCGACGTTTAACTGATATAATTGTCATTGTCTTCTTAGAAAGTAATATGTTTGGCACTATTGTATACGAACTATGAACTACAGTAAGATAAATGTACTCTGATGTGTTTACACTTTTTGCTGATGTTGTTACATATTTTGGATGGTGTTCTAGATTTCATGTCTCTTGAGATAATAAATTTGTTGGTAAATGAATACACAGATACATGATTTCGTTATTAGTTGTTAGTACTTTCAGATCGGTATTTTGTGTCTTTAGCCTTTTAACTGTCATACAAGTGGGAGGTTTAGATAGCTATCAAACTGAGTTTATTCCCCAATTTTCCCGGAAAATACCTGTTCCAAGTAAGGAATATGACAATTGTTTTCCAGTTGGTTGATTGTCGAGTGTTTGGATTTGTAAGGTATTATGGACCTTATTGAATTTTCTTTAGAGTTCGGTATTCCTGATAATGCATCTCGTGTTATAGGCGAGTGACAGTTTTCAAAAAGACGCTTGGTTAACGACTTTAATGCACCCAACTAACATACGTCTATATTATATATCATTCGAAAGCTTATTATCTGTACTTTCTGTTTTGTCCGGTCGTCAATAATTCGTACGGTTCAATTTTTGTTAAATTAAGGTCAAAGGTCAAGAATGGACATTCACAAATTTCACAAAATGCCCTTTACTGATTTTTGTATGTTATTTTTTTTCTTAAATTAATATGGACATAATAGAACAGCATACCATAATTCCTTATCAATTAAAAAATAAATAAATTGCGCTATATTTGCAAAAAAATGCAATTCTTAGAAAATAATTCAAAAATGATAAAATTGCGCTAAAAGCAAAATATTTCTTCAGGTATCAATATTTGTATGTCAAAAATAAAATATATTTATTGTTTATAGGTGAAGGGATTTTTTTCTTCATTTTAAACTGCAGTCAATAACAAATTTGTCAGGAATCAGCCTTCTAAGGAAGCTTTTTCAGTTGCCTTAAATACCATCATCTGCAAATAGAAATTCATTGCTTAGATAACACATCGATTGTTGTCAATATCAAGAGAACATAACTTTCCATGTTTAAAAAAATGGGGATAAAAGTGCTTATGGAATATACAAGATATATGCAGTAAAAATATATTTTTTCGATGTCAAAAGTGGAAAACATATTAAGAAGTTTATTTTCGTTAAAATTCGAATGACTACTGTTTTCAACGTGCTTTACTATCACAAATTCGGCTATTTTTTGTAATCACATTATTACCTCCTCATAGTTGTTTTATCAGAAACGACAGAACATGTATATTGTTGAAGACAAACATTTATATATAAAGTACTTTACTTCGTTTAATGATGATCACGAAATTACAAACAAAATAACAAAAACAGACAGAAGAGTTTTTAACAGGCTGGCAGTTATACTACATATTGAAATATTAAAGTTTAGCTCCCTAAATTCCCTTTAAAAGCATGAATCCCGAGTGTTATTTTCGGCAACCTAATATTGACTAAATATAATTTTTTTTAACGTAGAACAGCTGAAAAGCTATATGTTTGCAGATGGCGGTATTTTGGGCAACTGTATTGGTTGTTATGATTGGCTGTGTAATTAAAAAGAAATGTGATTGCAGTAATTTGATGATGGAAAAAACGTCCTTAACACTAAATGAAATATGTTATTAAGTTTTATGGTGACTAACAATTGAATCACTGACAAATACTTTGGTTTTCATTAATTTTTATCATTTTCACAGGAATTTCTGGAAAAAAGCGTTTAAAAATACGTCATTAATATCTCATAGTGCGTTTTATAACTGACTCATAGTTACTGTTCGAAAAGTTTTTATATATTTCCACACATAATTTTATTATTAAGAAGACAGAATATGCAAAAATACTGACATCTTGTAAAATAAGAAATTGTGATTTAACAGAAATTGCACCGTATGAATATTTGACTGACGACCGGGCAAAAAAAAAAAACAAAAAAAACCTCACAGATGATATGCTTTCGAATGGTATATGAATTAGCCGTATGTAAGGTGGGTGCATTAAAAATGAAACATTATGGTTAATGTCACTTGACTATTAGTTGTTTTAAGTACTCTGTACCGATCTGATGAGTCTAGACCTTTTTAAATTATTGTTTCATATTGTTTGTATGTTACGTTTTTATACCAAGGCCCATTGTAAAGAGAGGATATGAAGCCCGCAAACATGTTAAACCCCGCCACATTCTGCATTTGCTTGTTACAAGCAAGGAGACTGTAATTCTGAAGTTGTTGTATATCATATTTGTTTTTTCGATCATTGGTTTGTACATAAATCAAACTTAGTTTTTACTTTTAAACTGTTTTTATGTTACGTTTTTATACCAAGGCCCATTGTAAAGAGAGGATATGAAGCCCGCAAACATGTTAAACCCCGCCATATTCTGCATTTGCCTGTTACAAGCAAGGAGACTGTAATTCTGAAGTTCTTGTATATCATATTTGTTTTTTAGATCATTGGTTTGTACATAAATCAGACTTAGTTTTTACTTTTAAACTGTTTTTGGTGTCCTGGTGTGCTGTCGTAAATTCATGGGAGGTGTCCGTTGTTATTCTCCGGTTTACATGTTGTATTGCACTATTATATTATTTATTTATGTATTTCTCTGTGCTGAGTGTACTTGCGTTTGTTTGTACTGTATTCCTGTCACGTAGTGTTGCCATTTTAGCGGTATTTTTAACATTGCCATATAAGCGGGAGGTCATAAAACCATAAAACAAGGTTCAACCCACCATTTTGTTTTTAAAAATGTCCTGTACTAAGTCAGGAATATGGCAGTTGTTATCAAATCGTCCGTTTCTATGTATGTTGGCGTTTGTCATTGTTGCAGTTCAGTGGTTATGTTGTTCCGTTGTTTTCCTCTTATAGTTTATGTGTTTTCCTCGGTTTTAGGTTGTGACCCGGATTTGTTTTCGCTTAATCGATTTATGATTATTGAACAGCGGTATACTTCTGTTGCATTTATTTATATTATGTCATGTCGGGTACCATTATTTCTAGCTATGCGGTCTGTGATTTTACATTAATACCTCTCATCTTATTATCATACTAAAGGATATATACACAGTCATACAGTTTAATACTGTTCATCGCCTTTTCAAAATTTCATATTCAAAATCTCCACAATTAGGAGGAGCGAAATGTTAAAAAAACAAAGACACTTGGACCGGGTTCACCATATCTAGCTTTGTCACCTGCACAAACAACATTTTAATGATTATAAAGAGAGCAAAGGACATCGTTACAAATGAATATTTTTTCCAGAGCTATAGGTGCCCCAATATCCTTTCTCTCCGTATTTTAAATCTTGACTTCAAATTATATTTCAAGGTCAAATGTAAATTTGACGTTCTATGTTTTGCCGTTACCAAGTCAGGAATATGACAATTATTTTCTATTCGTTTGATGTGTTTGTGTTTTTTATGTTGCCATTTGATAGAGGATTTTTAGTTTTGAATTTTCCTTGGAGTTCGGTATTTTTGTTATTTTATTTTTGCCCTTTGCTATAACTTTATATTGATACATGATATAGAGATTGGTGATTTGCATTATGTTGGAAGATAGATGACCTTGAAAGATCAACACGATGTTACCTGTGTAAACCAAAAGAAACTTTTTAAAACTTATTTTAGGTAAAAATACCTAAAACTATATATTGTTGGAACAAGTGAAAAACAAAGTTTAACTTTTAAAACCGGCAGCGACATTTTGTTAAAAGTAAGTTTTTTTCATTACAAAACTGCTACAATAAAATATGTTATTTTGGAATATGCGTAAGATAAACTTTCTTCTGATACCAGAAGTATTCATTTATATGGTGTTACTATTTCCCTTTCCAATTCTCTTCAAAACTTATGTATTTTGAACCATAGATTTGAGATTAAAATTGTGAATGACTGGAAATATCAATACTGAACATTTTACTTTCAGTTTGATACAATTTGTTTGAAACAGTATGTTTAATAAATAATCTGAGTATTTGGTATATATTTAAAAACTGACGATCTATTCCCCAGGACACACTTACTGTGTAATTTCCATTTGTCTATATAATAACACTGAAATTTATTTTTGATGCGCTATATTAGAATTAAAATCTGGTAGTATTGAGAATTAATCAAAAATAATTAATACGTTACAATAGAATATTAATAGTCAATCTTGTGTCCTTTTTTCGGATTTTAGCAATGCCTTGTATTAGCATGTTGATGTTAAAATATATATATGTGTGCGTGAGTATCACTGAAATTAAATATTCAATTTTTAAATCGGTATGATGTGGTGAAAACAAATGAATGTATTGCAAAAAGTTAAATCCCGCTGCATTGTTTTATAACTTGTTGTCTCTTAGGGATCTTCAGGAATATATACCCAAAGGACGTAACTATACATTTCAAAACATCAATATTAATACTGATTGTCTCTACGATACGAATGACACCAGGTACAAGATATGTTGATGCCGTTTTGTAAATTTATTTTTTTCAATGTTTCTAAGCATGTCAAATTTGATGATTTTACTAATTTCTGTTTTTAATATTTAAACATGTCTGTCTATCTTCGATTCGTTCTTATTAAAAAATAACAAAGCCTAATAAATAGAAAAAAAATATATAACTCTAATCAAGTAATTTATGTCAAAATATGAAAAGTCTTATATCGTTTCAACCAATTACTGAATTTTTAAGTCATAGTATGGGCTTTTTTTCGAAGGAGAAAAAGAAGGTTGTATATTTGTTTTCCAGTATTTGTTATTGTATGAACAAGTCATGAAAAAGGTTTCCCTCAGCCTTACACAAATGGCATGAACTGTTTTCAAATATTTTCGATTGGGTTTATAGTTCATTACAAGGAAGAATGAAATAAAGCGATATCCATTTGAATATTTGGAATTCGTTGTTATCTATGTATTGCGATATGAGTATTATTTGAATTCATGTTTAAGTTATCTCGAAAAAAATTCCCCCACTTAAGAATACAGATTTTGCATGTTCAAATTATCAAATTCATGTATACTTTCCCTTAACAATTTTAATTGTCGACGTAGCCACCGTTTTTTCTAGTTGTCATCAATCTTCAAATATGTTCATTATTTCCTATTTCATTTCCTGAATCATTTTACAATTTGTATTGTATGAAACGTCAGGATTGCATATTGTCTGACGATCATTTAGAAAAAGTTGCTGGTAATTATACTTTCAACAAATTTAATCAATAATCTATAATACAGTTCCATTTGGTCAAATGAGTTATCATTTAATGTTTTAAAATTCAAGTTTACAGACGATCTGACGTCAATAGCAAATGCCTTTTGGGAAAGGTACGGGTCCATTTTCGTTCAAAATTGTCCTCTTTTGTCGACAATTAATGTTTGTTTACGTTATTGATGATAACACACTTATTAATTTAACAATGCTGTAGCATGATCTTCAGTTTTTACAAACCGATTTTGATTTCTAAAAATTATTTAAGCATTTTCAGTCTATTGGAAAAACAAAAGTCTAAGCCTTGTATCTATGATGAGTTCATTGTTAAAAATGCAGAACCGTTTCTCGTTTAGATTTAAAATATTTCTAAAATTTGTATTTCTTGATTGACAAGAGAGAAGAAACATGCCAAAGAGACATTTAAACTCATAAGTTTAAAATAAACTGACAACGCCATGGCTAAAAACGGAAAAGACAGACAGACAAACAACAGTTAACAAAACACAACATATAAAATTTAAATAAAGGCAACAGTAGTATACCGCTGTTCGAAACTCATAAATCGATAGAGATAAAAACAAATCCGGGTTACAAACTAAAACTGAAGGAAACGCATCAAATATCAGAGGAGAACAACGACACAACAAAAACAC